TAAAATAAATTACTTTAATAGCAATATTAAAAAACATACAATGCAATATTATTAATATACTTAGTAATAAGTAAAATAAATAAGGCTGACAACCGACTTCGCTCCTAATCGTTTTTCATATGCAATGATTTATCTTTGAATTCAAATTAAACACATACATTAGAATGACGAGGCACACTCGACACTCAGGCACTGAACTGCAGCAGAGCGGTTACCTACTTTCCCCCTTATTGTTGTTGTTTTCTTCCGATTACTTTAAAAATGAATGACAATTTTTAATTTTGACCCCCAAAACTCCATTTAAACATACATCATTGTAAAACCAATACATTCGTCGCTCCGCTTAAAATTTAAAATGAGCCATGACCCGTGCCGCCCATGTTACAAAACAGCATACGATGATCCAGTCATGTTTTTTATTTAATTTATTAAATTCTGGTTTTAGAATGATCTATTTACAAATAATTGTTATGTCTAAAGGCAATTTTAAAACTAGAAAAAATGTATCAATCTCCAATATTGAAGGTGGTTTCTGGTAGCGAATTGTTTTGAAGTCTAAAGCTCGACAATTTAATACAATGTTAAATTAAGTTTCTTATAAGTAATAACTTTTAAGTTGTTAAAGCAATTTAAAATGTAGAAGATATTGTAATGAATGACCAGGAACACATAAATTGTTCTACACAGCAGAGCAACTTCTCTGGTTTTCGTTTGTTTGTTTGGATATTGCAACTATTCGACTAAAAAATAATAAAATATTATGTCGTCCGTTATTTGTTTACAATCGAACTAGCAGCGACGGAGACAACATTCGACACCCATGAATAAAATAAATAAATAAACAAAACTCGTAATTCCACCGGTGCAAAACAACTTTCTTTCCGATCCCGTTGCGAAAATCTACGATGACTACGACGGCTGTTGCTCGCGTGCGTCGCAAAAATTATCGTGTGACGTGTCGTTTTTCCTCAGAGAGTGATGTCCTCGCCGATTTAAAAAAGAAAAGACGAAAAACCGTGAATCGCTCCGTCGACGTTACTCGTAAAACATAATATTATAAACATAATATTATATTATTACGCATTATTATAATATTATTACACTCACACGCCGCGACTTCTTAACAATGATATAAATATAAAATAATAATATTATAATGACATTTTCATTTTGAAACTTTACCTCAGCATCATCCGAGCGAATATTATCGTATAATACACGTATCATTATTACACGCACATGCACGCGAATACGTGTCTTTCGTACGAATTACGCAACACAACACACAGATTTTGCATACAAATTTAAGGGGGGCGGACGGCCGCCGATCGGTCGACCGTAGTCGTCGGCGGTATTATTATTGTTAGTTGGTTTTTTTTCCTACATTTTTGTTCACTACTCGTGATTATTATTTTGACCTCGACGACAACGGCGAGCGAAAATTATTCTTTTTTCTAAACGTGCGTCGTCGTTGTCGATTCATTGGACCATTGCCGCCGTGCATCGCGATGTATATAATATACAATATAATAATAATAATATTATAGTGTATTAAGCATGAACACGGCCGGCCGCACGATATAAAATAAATTCGTGACGATACAATAGCGTAAAATATTTCTGTTATTGTTACCACCAATAGATATTTTTTTTCGCTACGATCCCACCGAGCCGTAAGGCATCCTCATATTATTATATTATTATTATCCTCAGTAAATGGTATCGAATTATCCATGCGAAGAAATGCGTGTACACGATGCTCTGTCGTTTCGGGATCGTCGCCCGCAGAGAAATAATAATAATAACAATAATGAAAATAATATAATACAGTATGATGGCAGGGGAATGGCAGACTTGTATATATATGTATATAATATATATTATATATATACAATACCTGCGAATGGAAAAACTCTTCCCCTTTTTCTTTGCACATTTTTACGGTCGGATTTTCGTAAATGCACTATGGGCATTGGGTTACTACATTTATTCCTCCCTACATTCGAATTCACACAATAATCGAAACTCTTCTTAGTCATGTATTGTATTCGCTGTTATAAACTCTACACAAGTTTGACAAAAAATACCCCATGGACCATAAGTAGGAAAAGAAAAATAATACTTTTTGGGAATTTTTGATTCTATATGTTAATTTACATAAGTATTAACGCAGAAAAAACACTGAAATGTGTTCGAAAAATATATCATTCAGATTTATTTACCGGACGCCATAAAACATGAGTAAATCTACGTCTATATCATCACAGATAATAACGAAATTTGCTTGATTTTTTTATACACAAAATATACAGGCACACACCGTACCCATTTTAAACAATATTTTTGATTTGATTTTCTTAATTTGGAAGAATATGAGAATCTCAAATAAAATATATCAATGACATATCGTATTGGACAGCCTACTAAAATATTCTGATGATCAGGTTATAGGTTGGTACTTAGGTTAGATAGGCACTTAGGTATACACCATTAAATCAGCTATCAAAAAACGAATTAGCCCATATGTATTTCTTGCAGCCCACGGGATTTTCTAAGTAGGTCGCCGGTAGTTGTCAATAATTAGCGATGGTAATTGCCAACTAATTGCCTCTCCTCCTTCTCGAGACTTTATTTTTATGTTTCAGCAATTTCCATTCGTATAATAATATGTATTAAATTTAATGTCTATTTTTTTTTTTTTGAAACTTTAATGAGCAATTAGAATTTTGTCTAAAACACTGTAACCCTGACTCCTATTACAATTATAATCCCAAATAATTTCGATCTGTTTAAAAATGTTACTCCAATGTTCGTTCGTATATACTATATAATAATTTGTGAAGTTTGTGGACATAAGTATTAAGAAGTAGTATTAGTAAGTACTAACACATACATAACGATATTATGGTGTTGTAGGTCTTTAGTCTATATAGAGCTTATAGTGAATAGTGATAAGTGATTACTGATATTTATTGAGTGCTTGGAGAGTACATTTATATATATTTATATATATTATGTATGTGTGTAAAAAATGTATATAATATATACGTATAATATAATATAATATTTTATACCATACCAGTTTAAACATAACCACCCTAGCTGAGAAGTACGGTAGTATTTTATTTAGTCTTATTTAGTCTTATTTATAATATTGTTATTATTTTAAACTTAGCTTTCATCGAAGTCGGGTTGCACTACCGAGTGCCCTCCCAATATCTATTAGTCTCGCTATGTATATATTATTATCTTTAATCAAAATTATTTATTGTACCAAATGTGAATAGATTTTAATTATATTTTAATAAAAAAAAAAAGAAAAAAAAAGCTTGCATCGCGAACGTTTGATACTATACGTTTTTTTCTCCCAATTCTATACAATCTCAAAACATTCAATTTACAAAAGGACCTATTAAATTGTTGCAGAACGTATATTGTGGCAGACAACTAATACTGTTATAACATTATATCAAGAAAATACCGTTAGAATTCACAATGCTAAACAGAATCTTGTTTTATTTTACCGTACAAACACCACTATAATACTAGTCTCGAAAAATTAGCATTTTAACCCGTTTCATGAAAACGCGACCGGTGGTTCACAAAATATAAATCTCGTTGTACCACTTGTATCACGAACAACAGGAAACTTGAGTTTATTCGACAATATATTTTAGCTCGCATTTTAATCCTCGTATTACATTAGGTATTACAGTGTGTTTTAAATACAGTTAACGAGTTAGCTATAATCATTCTTGTAGGAATATATTCCAAATTCAATTTTTTATATTTTCATCCTAATCCCGAAAATCCTTAAGCCAATTTGGCACAATTTGGTTGTCCCTACTGAAAATATACCGTTATTTATTTAGGAATTTATAAGCGAGTACCAACCAACCTAATTCTATACCTACAACATTATAATATATATTTGATTTTGCGTAGGTATTTTATTTAGTTACTCACTTTTTTTTAATGGATATGAAATAATCAGGTATTACTCATACTAGTCATACAATTATATATAATTGAACACGTTTATAACTCTTTGTTTGTTTATAAGTTATAACTATTACTATTTAATTTTTTAATGAGATTATTTATTACTGAACATGGTATAATCATTGATTAAGTAACTACGGAACTATAATTTACATGATAAAGAAAACGTTTTCTTTATCGTGATGATATTTTATACCTACTGATCTTCTAGTACAAACACTACAAACCTATCAACTATTGAGATTATTCTTATCAACGGCTACGTCAGCACTGATATCGTAACCTCATAATACTATCAGAATATTATAATATTCAAGACCCACAATTACGATCACTGTATTACAAATGTACAATGTTATCGTTATGAACACAGTAGGCACCTAAACAACACACAATATTATTATCTTGTATTTTGAAATATCGTATTATAAAGGTGCAACGTTCACACGTTTATGCAAATTAAAAACCAACGGAATAGAAAATGCAAAAACATGGTCGCTAAAAATATTCAAATATATGCACAGGTATTAAACGACAACGTATTTTTATCAAAATCGCACCAAGCGCAGTGTGGAGTGTTACACTAATACACTGTGTGAACTGTGAACGTCGTAAAGTCAGGTCTGTCCATGAAAAGTGAATGCAACCAGAGAGTGTAGGTAGATATTAATATACTTAATGTGATGTTATTGAAAGTTTAGAGCTACGTTATCATCTTGACATATTTTATACTGTGGAAATTATATTGTGGCCGAGGGATTACTATTTTCTCCCCACAATACAATGTCGGTAGGAGGTACTTAGGTCATTTTGCGCACCTTATTGCGCCTACACAATATACAATATTATAATATAGACATAACACCCAATTGTAAATACGATTGGGCCGAGCTTACGACTAAACATATTGAATAGCCATCGTGCCTAGAACCCAACCTATATAAAATTATCATGATACCTGCTGGCTGCTGTAATAACGTGACCGGCGGCGAACTTACCTCATGATCAGCAGGAACATGGCGCAGAAGCACATGAGCACGGCCAAAACAGACAGAATATTGGAGAACTCTGCCACGGACACGAGCATCGCAGTCATGGCGACCAACATCGCGCGGCCGATAAGCGTACTAACGATTGACGGTGGTGGTGTGTTGTGCTGTGCCGACCTGTGGTCGGGTCAAGACGAAAACGAAAAATCCAAAAAAATTCAACTAAAAACAAACGCACCTGGCACCTCGTCGGCCGTTTGCTATGCAATTATATTATTATCTCGTGTGCCTATCGCGATTAATCGGATGAGGTGAAAAAAAGCCGTTCGGGGGTACGGGGGAACCCCGTGTTCCGATCAGTCTAACTCATAAAAAACGCTATAAACGGTGAGAAAAAACAACTGATGACGACAGGACGCGCACCGGTTTCTATGGAGGTTGGACGGGACGAACGGACGCGGACGGGGACGCACGATCGAGAGAAAAAAAACAAAATACCACAGTTTTGTAACGCGGAAAAACGTCTATTTTCGATCGGTTCTCGATGTATGTCTGTCGATCGGTGGGTCGGTGGCGAGCAACTCGCGCGCGATATGCTATAGCGTAGCCGTACACCGTCTCGTCCGGACTGCGGTAGCGCGGTTTGGTATAGCGCTGCACGCACGCTCACTCGGACGCACGCGCAGACACACGCGCGCACAGAAACACTGGCACAAAGAACGGTGGCGGTGGCGGCGCTCGTCGGCTACGGCGATAACACAAGTCATATAACACTCGCACAGGCGCGACGAAACGCAACGAAACGCAACGGTAACGAAAAACGGGATGCGGCCCGCCCGCGTGCGTTCGGCGTTGGTAGTCTCGATCGCGGGTGACACGGCGGCGGCGTGGGGAAATTGTGAACACTGTCGCCATCGGCGGAGGAGAGTGCACGGCGATTTTCACACCGCGGCCGTGCCGGTCCTATACGTACTCGGCTGCCGGCGAGTGGTGGCAACCCGTGAATGTGAAAGCATAGCGCCGCCGCCGATGCGACGACGGCAACAAACGTCCCACCCCGCTCGTCCACCCGAACAGTCATCACCCGTCGAACGACGAACCGTCCGCACAACCGGTGGGTAGAACGTGTGGCGGACGGCGGTCGTCCGTCCCACCACGCGAGGCTGCGGGTACCGGACGCCACCGGCATATACACGGCATTATAATATTTTATAATACACCGCGTACCATCACGTGACGCACGTGATTCGTATAATATAATTATTATTGTAGTTGCACTCAACGTGTTTGTCCATGACGAATCATAATAGAGTGGGGGGGACGAAGGAGGCATTCACCTAACCGCCTGGATCCTTTATTATTTTTTTGTTTCATCCTGCAGAGTAAATAATAAATGTGCAGGTAACGACGTATGAACCCTTCTAACCCTCCCTCGAATCATTAGAAATTGATCCAGGAATGTGAGCAGCTGCACTGCTCAATTAAAAATTAAAATATCTTTAACGATTGAAGTACGAACACTCAGCAGGGTAAACGACAGTTCATTCCCGTCACATAAATTATAATTGAGTTTTGTCTGTTTTCGTTCAGCTATCGAGCAATCCAACAAATATTTTATTAATGAATGAATATTAAAATTTCACGAAATTGGTTATTTGTGTGTAAAATAACGATTTCTCATCAAACGATTTTCTTATTTAACTTAAAAGAGAGTTATCGCAAATAGTTTAAATTTTTAAAAAATGTTGATATTAGCATTTTTTATACATGGCATAATTTCAAATAATGTTTATGGTAATATTATAAAATACATTAACTTTTTTTAAGCTATTCGCGTAGACATTTGACATTCTTGATCTTTTTTTTAGATATTCTTCTATAAAATATGTCAATTATCAATTTTGAACAAGTTTGAAAATTGAATAAAAGATTCCACATAAGTTGTTATTATAGGAATTCAACAAATATTTAAAATAAATAGGCACTATTTTTTCATTCGCTTGAAGTTCAAATCTTGATCAAATTGATCAAAATCACAAACATTTGTAAATTATGTTGTAGGTAATTAAAAATGTTCAATTTTTATTTATTTTACCTAACTACCTAAGGGTTGAAAATTTAATTCAAGTTTTGTCATAAAGAGTTCTTTATACTCAATGGTATTAGGGTACCTAGATAAAAATAGAAGTTTTTATAATTTACATAAAATGTCAAACTCTCAAACAGTTTAATATGGTCAATGTTAGATATGCAAAAAAATATAGGTATTGTAAAATATTAAAATGATTTGAACCCACGGCTGTTAATACTTAACTCCCACTACAAGATATTATAACCACAAATTGTATTTATTTAGAACCTTCCTTTAATTTATAAGAATTATTGCCGGTCGTTTAAAGCCCAACCGCAATGTGATAATAAAATTGCATCTCATATTTTAGACTTTTAGAGAAAAATATTGTAAAAGAAACTTATAAGAAGTATTGAAGTATATGAAATTTAAATAAATAATGATATATAGGTATAATAGGTACCTACTACTAGTTAAAAAAAATGAAGAATATGCACATACACCTACTCAAACCTTGATCGTCTGACAACAACACAATTAATAATATTGATGATCAGATGGGAAATATATTTAAAAACAAAATATCTATAGTAAAAAGTAAATTAAACTTAAAAAATAATAATAGAAATTATCCCGTAAAGAATTGAAATCAAAAAGGATGGCTGGGCGCCTGGCAACATTATGATATAAGTTATGTAGTAGATATGTAAACAATTTTAACCTCGATAAAATTGGAAAAAAAGGGTTATGAAAGAAACTTGCAAAACTTACTCGCGTATTCTAATATTATGTCATACAAAATATATTATATTTGATTTCCAGTCGTTCTAAATTTATTACAAAATTAATATAACAATTTATAGTTTATGCCTTATGGTAAGTAAAAAAAATTCATTTTTTACAAAATACATAACTTGCATTACCTATACCAAAGATACGTGTCACAATAACTCTTCCCCACATGAAAAATTCCGAGTATTTCCAAAACATTTAACCAATACCTAAGCAATAATATAGTAAGCACCAGATAAATTGAAGCATTTACAAAAATCGATTTTTTTCCTATTTTGTATTCATAAAACATCTAATGCTAATACTATAATCAATGCTAATACTAATACTAACAAACTCAATCATATTCAAAAAGTTTAGTCAAAATTGGATAGTTTTTTTGTTTCCCAAAAAATAATATTATATATAAATATATACAACTTGTGCATAATTGAAATTTCAATTTTTTACGGAATTGGATATTTAAAAAGAAAATAATGATTTATTTTGTTATAGGTAGGTATAAACTAATTTAAAAAAATATTATTACTATTCATAGGAACTTAAAAGTTTTTGTCATAACGAATATAGTATATTATTATTTGCTAAACACTACCAATACAGTAGAATCAGGGGCGTCATTTCAACTTTTTGAAAGGTATGCAAACATCAAGGCAGGCCAAAAAAATTTTCAGCAGGCCAATATATATTATTATATACACTATAATTATTAGAAAAAAAATTTTTTCTCGCTCTGCTCGAAAGTTTTATTTTTCATCAATCAAATAATTTCATATAATACCAATATTGTACACCCAATACTACACAGTTAAAACGTACATTATTTTATTTTGAATATCATTATTTCATATTCATAAACACTAAGGAAAACAAAACAAATTTCTGAAATCTTTAATCACACATAAGTTATTTATCTACTAACTACTACGGCGTATGGTCTTATAGGGGCATATAGCATAAATGATAGATGCCGATACTCGAGACCAATTAAATATATAAAAAAAAAAGGATAATTTTTGCCCGGCGCAGAAAAATTATAGTCGGGCCAAATTGCATCTTGATAATTTTAGGTATGCATAGGCATACCCAGCAATACCCCAAATGACGCCCCTGAGTAGAATGTATTGATTTTACAAGGATGTGTGTTTATTTTGTGACTGCCTCAAAGTTTAGGGCAGTAACACTTCTTCGATGATTTTTAACAGTATCTTGTTCGAAGGGAAAGTGAATCTAGTTGGTCAAAATTGAAAATTCCCAAATAGTTTTTAAAAGTAACGGGAAAAACAAAATAAAAATTAATGAAAAATTTGAATTTTTGAGCAAAATTGATTTTTGGTTTTTGTGTAACTCTATAACAAATGACTGTAGATAGGTGCATAAAACGTTCACTGGTTGTTTGTATTCTCATTTCTATACACGAATAGTTTTTCAAAATATTTTGATTTGTTTTGAACTGCGGTTTACGGACATTTTCAGTTTCCAATAACTATAGGTTTTTTTCCACGAATGTTAATTAAATTTTATTTGTAGGGTGTATATGCTTGAACATTTAATGCAAGGCTCCTAATATATTATTATAATTTACAATGTAATTTGAAAAATATTAAAAATCCTTAGTCACAATTATTATAATCATAATTTTTTTTATAAGCATTTTATGTTCAAATATTGAAAAAATACTTAAAACTCACGAAAATTTGCAAATTATTTTGAGTTAGAAATTCTTTAATAATTTTCTTTTTAAATCTAAAATTCCTGGATTTCTGGAACGAATTCATTTTTATAAAAAAAAAAACGTGAAAATGAACAAGTTCTTTTTTTCAAGGAAAAATAACAAAATTGTTCTTTCCTTTCTAGTTCCAATAATTTACACAGATATGTAAACAATTGAAATTTATATATATGTATATTTTTTTAATGTGTATAATGTATATTGCCAATTAGTGATCGTTATCGAGTATCGACGACCGACGCTAATCGTTACTCATTAGTCATTAGTCACTTTATTAATATTTCTAATAGTTATACGTTATAATTTATAAAGAAATGAGTACCTATATAAAATATAATTATTTATAGCAATAAACGATAAATGACAGTCGATATACGTTGGCCAACAATTTAATTTTGAAAAAAATCTCAAAATAGAATTATAAAATATGTAGGTTTACATTATAATTAAAAATTAAAGAAGTATGCATATGAAAAAAAAACATTAATGATTAAATAATAATTTATATGTTATTTCGAACTAAAAAAGGAACTCTTTCATTTTCCAAAGGAACGACGATGGAACGACTTCTTTTTTTTTAAGAACAAGGAGTGTAACGAATTCCTTTTTTAGGGTTCTGTACAGTAAAACGGGCCAATATTATAAGGCTCCACTGTCCGTCCGTCTGTCACCAGGCTGTATCTCATGAACCATGAAAATTAGAAAGTTGAAATTTTCCATAGACTTTATAAGGTCTATGAAATGTTCACAGATTATGTATTTCTGTTGCCGCTATAACAACAAATACTAAAAATTCTAGAATATATAATATAAGCAGTGTTGCCAACATGTGTATAGCTTATGATGGTACGGAACCCTTCGTGTGCGAGTCCGACTCGTTTTAAAAAGAACGAGGAACGGAAAGAATTCCTTTTTATAAAGAACTTGCCAAACACTGAATTAAATATGAATACCAATATTAACAATATTGAATTTACATTGGCTTTTTAGCATTTGTCGAACTTACCTCCAGTTGTTTGTGCTGACATCAAATTTATTTTCTACAGAATTAATAGTGTAAACTGTAAACATTATTTTCACAAGTGTAAAATATTAAAATAATCATTGCAATTATGTTTGTATTATATATTTTAGCTAAAGCAAGTAGGGAAACGATATAAAAATAGATTCATATTAATACAGGGGAAGTTGAGTAAAGGAAGTTAGTCTTTATAAAATGATTATAATATTATTATTATAATATAATATGCTAGCTTTATAGCCAATTATAGGTTATTATGCTGTATGTGATTTGTTTCTGTCAAAAATTAGTCCAACTTTTTATATTATAATATGTTATCCGCATTAGTGTAGGTATATTACAAATTAATAGAAAAATAAATCACTAATATCAATATAAATAAGTAGTTATATAGGTAATAAAATATCCTTATATCCTAATAAATATAATATGCTGAACGTCTTCTTTGCTCGGAATCGTGTTTCATCGTATACCTACAATTATTATTTATCATTGAATTTAAATTT